AAACGCATAGCTTAACTTGTGGTACATGAGATCATTTTGTATTACTATGCAAAAGGTTTTGGAAATGCAGGTATTCTGAAGCTAACAATGGTTTTAACCCATAAGCTTGTATGTTTGTGAAAAGCTAAGACTTTGGAATTCACAGAAAATCACAGCCATTAATAGATGACCCAAAGATGTTGTCATTTATCAAGAAGATTGGTCAGGGATACTGGCAGGCCTCAAGAAAGAAAGAAGTCAAAGTCTTGTCAAGCCAAAGGTTATAGTATTGAGAGTATCAACTGGGGCGAACTAGTGAAATGCTCTATGCCCGAAGTGAAACCGAGTTCCATTGAAATCAAAGGGATAGTATTCCTTCGAAGAAGAAAGTGCATTAAATTGCATAATTACATACATCGTAGGAATGAATAAGATCATGGCATTGCATGATTATTTTAAATGTTTGTAGGTTTCCCAATGATTATTGAAAATTGATCGAGTCTTATACTCTCTGAAGAAATAGGAAGCAGACAAGATTATTGAAGATTATTCGAGTCTTATACTCTCTGAAGAAATATGGGGCAGACGCGATCGTTGAATATTCTTTGAGTCTTATACTCTCTGAAGAAATAGGGGGCAGACGCGATCGTTGAAGATTGTTCGAGTCTTATACTCTCTGAAGAAATAGGGGGCAGACGCGATCGTTGAAGATTGTTCGAGTCTTATACTCTCTGAAGAAATAGGGGGCAGACGCGATTGTTGAAGATTGTTCGAGTCTTATACTCTCTGAAGAAATAGGGGGCAGACACGATTGTTGAAAATTGTTTGGGTCTTATACTCTCTGAAGAAATAGGGGGAGACGCGATCGTTGAAGATTGTTCGAGTCTTATACTCTCTGAAGAAATAGGGGGGAGACACGATCGTTGAAGATTGTTCGAGTCTTATACTCTCTGAAGAAATAGGGGGCAGACGCGATCTTTGAAGATTGTTCGAGTCTTATACTCTATGAAGAAATAGAGGGCAGACGCGATTGTTGAAGATTGTTCGAGTCTTATACTCTCTGAAGAAATAGGGGGCAGACACGATTGTTAAAGATTGTTCGAGTCTTATACTCTCTGAAGGACTAGGGAGCTAACGTGATTTTTGAAGATGTTCGAGTGCTATTCTCCTGGAGAAAGAGGGAGCGAACCCGTTTTCAGAAGATTTTTTCAACTCTCACTCATCCTAGATGAAGAGTGGAGCGGGTGAGTTTATCAAAGTTCTTATGGTCGAACAAACTTGATCATCTCTTGGTCTTTGCCCTATTCTCGTTACATGACAATGAGCAAAGAGGGGCAGCTGTAGATGCTCGTTTTGTTCGGGGCTCTCGTTCGAATTTTTACTCCATTTTATATATATTATTATTTAGTTATTATTGCCAAGTCTTGCATATTTATTATTATTAGTTTATTATTGGCATGTGTGTTTAATTACGTATTAACCGTTCATTTAATTATATGAGTTGTTAGGCTTGTAGTCATGTGTAAATATATATATATATATATATATATATATATATATATATATATATATATATATATATATATAAGTATTTATGGGTATATGAAATTATATATATATATATATATATATATGAATATAAGTATGTTATGATAAATGGATTTACTAAGTAATTTATTTTTACAGGCCCGAATCAATGTTTAACAGCCCAAACCCATACTGAATGGGCAGCCCAATGCCATGGCCCAATCCCACGGGAGATCACAAACCCATTGAGGGTTGTCCCTCATCTGTTTCAACGCAATCACATTCCAGCCGTTAGATCTGGCATTTTGATCCAACGGCTCACAGCTCCCCTGAATCATCTGAGCCAGCATGTGAATCCCTCAGAAGCCCACGCCCGACAGCACTCTGATCGAGCACCCACAACCCAACAGCTCCCACGTGAAGCTGCTTCCAGCACCACAACCGAGCAACACCAAGGCTCGGCTCCCCAACTGCTATCACCCGTGACCAGCTCGCCCCCGTGACCTGCAAACACACCAAAAAAGAAAAAAAACAGAAGGCATTCATAAAAATAGAGAGATAGCCATCGTCAACAAAAAGAGAGTGGATACCAAAAAGCAGAAAACATAACGAGGAGGAGAGGAAAAACACAAAAAAATACCAAAAAAATGAATAGAGAGCAAGAACCCAGGAACCACCGTCAGCCATCCGCAAACAAAAACAAACGAGAGAACTATCGAGTCACCAAAAAACCCGAGGGCATCCAAGTGAGAAAAACGAAAGATTCTTACCCTTGATAGCTGAAAAACTTTTTCCACAGGAGTAAAGTCACCTCATTTCTCGAAGGTAAACTCCCTACCACTTTAGATCTGGGTTTGAGGGAGCCTAAAGCCATGCAAAGTAAGGGTTTTTGATTGTTTTTTTACCCTTAGGATTTGGGTTTTTATCGTGAGAGATTCAAAGCTTGAGGGTTAAGGGTTGTTTACGGGTAAGGCTGGTATTGGAGTGGCTCCTCATCGGAGTCGTTTGGGAAGAGAGAAGGCCACGGTGGCCGGGGTTTTGATAAGCTAGGGTGTAAAACCGTTTGGGTTTCGTTTAGTTTGGTCTTAGGTCTCGGGTTTGGGTTAGTATTTAGTGAGGTCGTCGTCGGAATAGGTCTAGATGACGTCTAGGCTCCTCACCGGAGCCGTTAGAGGGCGGAGGCCACGGTGGTCGTGGCAACTGGGAGCCTTCGCTTAGGGTTTGAAAGATAGAACAAGAGAGAGGATGAGATTAAAGCGGCGAGGCATTTTAGAAGAGAGGTTGAGAATGATTTTAGGGTTACCGTTTTACCCTAATATTGTATATATCTGGTTAGTGAAACGGCATAGTTTCACAGTGGTCCAAAATGGCGTCGTGTTGGCACCTGGGGAGTATTCCATGTTTTGCTGAGGGGGGTAATTGTGTGCGTGGCCATCCCAACCTTGTATCATTCCATTTTGGTCCTTAAACCGAATTTTATTGGCATGCTAATTTCGTCTCGAATTTTTAGCGTGTTTTCATTTTATTCCAATATCATGTTGTGGCTATTTTCAAGCTTGTTTTACATTGGATATGTAATTTTTGAAACTTTTGTTTTGGTCCTATGTAGCACTTTGGTTATATTGTGTTTGGAGTATCTAAAACTGAAATGTTGTGAAAAAAGCCTTTTGTTTGTTATTTTTATATTTTTGTCCCTTTAATATGTCATGCATGTTTGTTAGGTTAAATTAGATTTATTTTAAATTTACTTGCAAGTATATTATTTCGAGCATATAATTCAGTTAGGTGTAGTTTATATTTTTTATGCATGTTTAGCCTCATATGCATGACTCGACCTGATCACATAATTGGATTAAGGGTAATACTCTCTTAATTTAAATTCGTTTTAAGTGGGTTGTCTTAACTATTAGAGGTTCACTTCTAACGATTTTAAATTAAAAGTGTATCCCATCAATAACACCTAAAAATTGGTTGATCGTTATAAAATTTGGGAATGAAAGAAAAAGAAATGTTCGACTATTTAAATTTATCGAGAAAATGTTGTTATAACTATTTAAGATCTGGTCTCGATATTTTTAAATAATCGAATATTCTTTATCTTTCTAAAGGTTAGGTAATTTTAATTTAATATATTTTGATGCTTTTGAATGTTGTAAAATTCATGTGATGTTGTTTTTTCGGGGATCATAAATCAAATTAAAATCGAACTTGTAAATTTCATTGCAAATACATTAATTAATCGACTAGGTACCGATTTAGGGCGATGTGGGGGTGCTAATCCTTCCCCACGCGTAATCGACTCCCGAACCCATTTTTGGTAACGCATACCTCACTTTGTTGTTTTAATTAAAATTAATTTTTATTTAAAATAACAAAATATTTTGGGTGCCCGATCACACCCAAATCAAAGATCGGTGGCGACTCTTCGAACCGTTTTTTTACTCGTAATAAAATCCCAAATTTTTTAAACGAGAGGTTTTCTAAAATCGCATTGTTTTTAATTAAAAATCAATCGTAAAGAGAATAATTAAAAATTGACGCGGTTTTTAAAAATCTCGCTCCCCACACTTAAAAATCGTTTCGACAGTAGGCATGTAAATGAACTGAACGTTCAGCGAACCGTTCATGAACCGTGCGGCGGGAAGTTCGTTTATGTTCGTTTACTTATTAAATGAACGGACATGAACAAGATTTTGCGTTCGTTTAATTAAATGAACGAACATGAACACAGGGTTCGTTCGTTCATTTACGTTCGTGAACGTTCGATTATATGTTCGTTCATTTATGTTCATTTATATTCGAACAGAGGGCAAGTTGAATATGTTACGTATATTATTGAAGTTGTTTGGATTTCAAGAAGATTGTTTTGTTGAACAAATGAACTTTAAGACTTTATTATGTTCATATAGCTTATTTATGATTTATGTATGTTTTTGTCGTATTCGAACAAATTAACTCTAAAGTTGCAGGTTATATGAATTTTAAGTTGTTATTCTTGTTGTTTACTTTTTTTTACATTCGTTTGTTGTGTTCGAATAAGTTTTTTTTTTGTGTTGTTCGTTTATTATTTAAATGAACGAACATGAATAAGCTATATTCCTTAATGAACGAACATGAACAAAAAAAATTTGTTCGTTTATATTCGTGTTCGTTTATGTTCGTTTATTTATTAAATGAACGAACATGATCATACATCCGTTCGTGTGCGTTAATAAGTCTTACCCAGCACCAAAGTATTGCACTTAAAATCTCATATCACACTCGAGACCAAGAACCCTATCATTACAGCGCAGAGAGAAAAACAAAGATTCAATCTTTATTATCCTTGTACAAGAATTTTCCAGCATTACAACAACTTGCCTTCTTGATCAAACACAACAAGAAAGAAACAGCAAGTCAATGCCTTTTCTGTGTCTAAAGAAAATGTTTTGGACAATGCAATTGCAACCTCACCTAAACCATCAAGATCATAAATTATACAACAACAGCAACTAAAACACAAGTTAGTTTTGCCTGTAAGCTATATAATTAGCCAGAGCAATCAAAGGAGCAGCTTTTGCAGGATCAAATCCTTGAAGCAAATCTACTGCATCAGTCTTCAACTTGATGGCAAACTCCCTTGATTTCTCTATCCCCATCAACTTTGGGTAGGTGGCTTTCTCAGCCACCAAATCTTTCCCAGCAGTCTTCCCTAATTCTTTAGACGATTTCGTTACATCAAGAATATCATCCACTACCTGGAACAGCAGCCCAATACACCTTGCGAATTTCCTCAACCTCTCCACATCATCATCACATCCACCTCCGATAATTGCCCCCATAACCACAGATGCTTCGAGCAAAGCAGCAGTTTTGTGAAGGTGAATGAATTCTAAATGATCCAACCCCACATCTATTAGTCCCTCACTAGTTATATCCACCACTTGACCAGCCACTAACCCTTCTGTTCCAATGGCTTTAGCTAATTCCCCTACAGCTCTTATTGTCCAACTAGGCGTGACACCAACTGTAGAAACAGCTATGTGTTCAAAAGCAAAAGCTAGAAGAGCATCCCCTGCTAAGACAGCTAATTCCTCACCAAAAACTTTGTGGTTAGTTGATTTTCCTCTACGAAGATCATCGTTGTCCATGCAAGGCAAATCATCATGGATCAATGACATGGTATGGATCATTTCAACAGCACAAGCTGCTGGCATGGCTGTGGATACTTGACCACCAACAAGTTCACATGCAGCTAAACAAAGCACTGGACGGACCCTTTTGCCGCCTGCTAAAAGGGAGTACCGCATTGCTTCATGGATTTTGATAGGGTCACGGAGTGAAACAGCTGACTCCAAGGCTTGGTTAACTGTACTCGCTTTTTGAATCATATAGGATTCGAAATCAAAGCTTGGTTTTTGAGGGCCTTGATCTTCTTCCTTGACAATGTCTTCTTTGGTAAGGACACAGGTGACTGATGGAAGAGATGTAAAGTTCACATTTTTCAGAGTTGAAGATGGTTGATTTTTAAGGGGATTGAAGGGAAGGGACGCAGGGGAAGGAAAGGATTTGGATTTGGAAGAACCTCGATTGAAAATGGAGTAAGATTGTACTAAAGAACCCAGATTCACTGAAGCCATTTTTAAATATTTGGTATTTTGAGAAGCTCAAAAACAAAAAGAGCTTAAACAGATGAAAATGGAAAGAAAAAGAAGTTTTCGAGGGGTCGAACAAAAGTACCAAATTCTAACGTAATTGACATTTTTCAAATACTAAAAGCTGGATTTTGAGGTCCTGTAAAGACAAGTTGGATTGAAAAAAACAAAGCTAAACATTCAATGGCAATGGATGAGCATTGGTTTTTAATGTGAGCCAAAGAGCACCCAAAACAATGAGAAAATTATTTTATACACATACTAATTTATATAAATATTCGTTTTGATCCCATAACAAGTTCAAAACTATTTTGTTAAAAAAATCAATTTTGTAACCATTCTTTGATTTTTAAACTTTATTGATTACTATAAAAAAAATTATTGATTAATATTTAAAAAACAAAATTGTGGTATTATTTATAATAAATAAGAAATTTTTATATAATATTAAGTGTTATTGATTGAACGACTATAATTATTGATATTGTATGAGATTTCTAACATTTTGATTGACTTTACAGATTTATTAATATAAATACTTAAAAAAATTAAAATTGATTGTCTTTATAATCTTATATTTATTAAATCTAGATTGAAAATTTAGCACTCTATTTAAAAATTATTATTGCTAATGTGATTTTTGCTCATATTATATACGATATATTATATTTTAAAACAATAAAAAAAAGTCATAACTGGATTTTAATTTGGTGAAAAATAAGCTTCATAATATTTTTGGCTGTTTAATTATTGTTTTTTTTTCTATTTTAATTAAGTGTTAAACAATTAAATTTCAAATTTAAATTAAAGGGCGCATGTTTTCAAACTTGAAATTAACACAAGAATCAAAAACTTCCATGACCAATTGTATAAATAACAGATACTTTAGGGACGATTTTAGGCGGCCTTCAAAGCGTGAATGCCAAAGATTCTAAATAACCAAGCGTAGCCAATTAGAGAATCAATTTCATTTTTTTAATTATAGTTTTACTTGAAATAACAATTAACTATATGAATTAATTTAATTGAACTCTTTTCATTTTTAATTTAAAATTCGATAGATTATGCTTGAAAAATCTAAAATAAAAATACTATAAAAAACAAAACTAACTAAATAGATTCTGAAAGCTACTTGAAACGAATACTAAGAAACTAGAAATTTGTCTCACATGAAAGGCTCAAGATGCTCGAATTCATGTTTTGGTTGTGAATAACCAAGAAATATCGACTTTTCTAGTAATAATAAAATACCATAAAATGACATCCGAGCAGGCAGCGTCAAGGAAAGTGGAGGAAAATGAAGGGGTAAAAGAAAAACAACTTTTTATTTAGATCTGAATTTGAATTTTTTTATATGATCCAAAACTAAGTCATTTTAGTGTTGGTTTTCATGTCACAACGCCATTTATTATTTAACGGTAGAGTGACTAAAACAAGAGCAATTATAAAGTTGAGCGATTAAATCGAAAAATTATAAGCTTTAGTGACCAAAATAGGAGTGAGAGGATAGTTGAGTGATGAGTGGTGTAGTTTACCCATAAAGAAAACTACCAAATCGGTCTCGTTTTCTTCCTTTGTCATGTTCCATTCAATGGAGTTCAAGTTCACTATCATATGACAAATTCAACTCAACAATATAAAGTTGCCGTCATAGGTTTAAACAGTCTTGTCAAAAGATGAAAATTCTGAAATCTAACCCTGGAAAAGCTCTGTATAATCCAATCTAAATATAGATATTTGTTGAGTGAAGAGAAGGATGATCTGTTTCTCTTTTTGCTTCAAAAAGAACCCAAACGACTATGGTGATGATTAGACAATTTATTTCAATTGACAGGTCTTACTTGTTATACAGGAACAGTATGCTGAAGATAAAGAATCCTGCCATCTGCATTCAACCAAATCAAAACAATTGCCACGGATTTATTATTTAAGACAACATATATATATAACACAAAAACACTACCATGGTAAAAGAAGCTCCATAATATGGGAAAGCAGTTGTTATAAATCTCTCGTATTCATTGTGTCTGAAGGGTCGAACTGGAATCTGCAAGTTAATAATGTTCCTCAATTAGATTTCCAACAAGAGAAATGTTGTGTTAGGAGTATATTAGTAGGATACAGATTACAGTGACAGAGGCAGCCGTTTCCAGTGAATTGGCTGAACAAATGGACACGATTTAATCAAAGACTATTTCTGATGTGTATGTGAGAGTTGGCAGTTGGGAGGGAATCTCCTAAATTAGCTCCTGTTTGTGCTTGCCTCATTAATTAGTTTTTATATTTTGTAAACAAACAAAAAACAGCAAATCAAGATTGTTTAAACGCACTATGCTGAATGTTTCCTCAAAATACATTACAAAGATGCTTGAAGAGCAGCCTTCCTTTAGAAGAAAGAGCTATTCATAGTTCTAAAACAAGTTTATACCAACAAAAACGCTATGTTATGAAGCATTCAAGGGACATGGTTTGGAAAATAAGTTTTATATGCTTCAGAGTAAACACATCCCATGTCCCATAAATAAGGAGAATACTTACCCATTCCAAGACCATTTCTCATATCCTCAGCAGTTTTTCTAATATTAAGTACTAAGCTACAACATCAGGCACCTAGAAATCTCATACATATAGAATAAAGTACTGTTCAGTCATTGCTTGGTTGAGAAAACAGATGAGGCTCTGAAACCTAAAAGCTTACCTGTTTGGAAAGAGATAAGCTAGTGTAACCAAGCCTGTGATAGTCAACCTTAAACTGAAATACCCCATAAACATCAGGCACCTTGAATGATGCAAGGTACAAACCCTGTAAATTTATGAATATAAAAATAAGAGTGCAAAAGTACAGTTGCAAAGTCTAATAAACATGAACCTGGCCAAAAATTACCTTCCCGTTGGTTGATAGTGTTTTCAGCACGTAAGAGCTCATCATGTAAAACTGGACCTGAACATCATCTGCCACATAGGGCTCCCAGTTCTTTCCAGACCACTCATGTATCTCAACAGAGAATTTCTGTATTGCACATATATTTTGGGTGATTCAATGTGAATAGTTCTTGTAACTACATGTATTTTCAACAGAAACTTCTAATGCAACAAATTGATGTATTTAGTACCAGGTCATCTTTGATCCTATACATTGCAGGCTCATCTGTTTCCCCAACTCTGAGGTGTCTGAGATTAACAGCCTGACATTAAGAACAAGATTTGAGACAGCTTTTAAAAAATGTAGTTTTATGAGCAAGTTGGATAAGCAAGACCATTGGCTTCCTTCGTCAAACAATTAAATCTTTCAGAGACTATATAGACAACATTAAAATGGAAACTGTTCAGGATCCCTCACCTTCAAATGACCCCTTTCATGAAAGACCCATTTGCTAATTTCCGTTACAAACTGTTCATTTCCTGATTTGTGATATCTGGTAAAGCAAAGTCATGAAGAGTGTAAACTACGTGCTTGAAAATATCACTGAAACAGAAAAAACTGTTCATTTAATGTATGTGCATGATAAGGGGAGTCCAATAACCAATATTTCACATTTATGTATATATTTCTCACAATGAAATTACAGTTCAAGGGATATTTTTTGCTACATCCAGGAAGAAAATTTTATTTACTCTCGAGATCAACTGATCAGCAATAGTGTTGTGCAAAGAAAATGCAAGGTAAGATTATTTTACAAGTAATTTACATATAGATGCAAAAAGGAAATATTCTGATCTTACTTACTTATCTTGGCTCCCAGCTTTCTGCACGGCAGTTCTTAATAGCCTGAATTGCAGAGAGCAGTGTTATCAAAGAAAACGAAGAGAAAACTATTCTAAGTCCAGATATCAAAAACACCACAAATGATGTATACCGGTTACTGAATAAATCTAAAGAGCCAGCGATCATAATCCGAGCATTATTTCTGGCCTGCGTTTACATAAAAGGAATGTCAACAATAACATGTGGACACTTATAAACCATATAGTTCATGTAACCATCAAGATTCCTTGGGACAACAGGAATGGAGTAACAAGCTCATGTTAGGAATCCAAATGTCTTCACAACAACAGCTAATTACAAAGGAAAATATTAATTTATCAAGAAAATAAACAGCTCATTTTAATGTTAAATACTCGAGAAGAAACGAAATACCTGTACAACTGAGACCAATGAAATGGCAGATCCAGTAAGCAATGGAGGGTTCAACAATTTGGATTCCGGGTTAGCAGAATAGGCTGAAGGGGACGCAGATAGCACCTTTAAAACCTATTCGTTGTATAAAAAACCTCAAAAATATTAGCCTATATTAAACAGAAGAAAAAGCATCATTCATCTTAAACTTACCAAGCTGTTGGCCGAATTTACTGAATGTGCAATCCCTTTAAAAAGCACTGGCGCCTAGTACATTCGCAACAAGCAAAATTTCACTTAAATAAGAACTTAATACCAACAATTTTAGACCTTCCTTTGACAAAGAAAAAAATCATCTATAAATCGTGTAAAACTGACCTCAATTTTGGTTTTTCCTAAAATGGCGCCAGACTGGATAAAATCATCACTGACAATCAATGAATGGTCACCCTCAGTTCCGGAAATTGCATAGCTTTTGTGATCAATAACCATTGCAGATGAATCCTAAGACATTTATTTTTCAATTCATTTAAAAGTTAAAAACTAAAAGGAATTTCTCTCACTACAAAAGAAAAGGAAAAGAGCTGACCTCATCGAAATCAACTCCACATTCAGTAGCAATGTTTTTAATCAAATCAGATGCAGTCGAATCAGCAGCTAGTATCAAGTCGTGACCTGAGTCAACAAAATCAATCACAGCTGTCAAATCCAAAGATCCGCCAAACTCTAGCCAAGATATTTCAAAATAACGAGTGAGATACACGAAACAAGTAAATAAGCGGCGCTACCTGAGTCAACAAAATCAATCACAGCCGCCAAATCCAAAGATCCGCCAAACTCTAGCCAAGACATTTCAAAATAACGAGTGAGATACACGAAACAAGTAAATAAGCGGCGCTATAAAGAAGAAAAAAAAGGAGGGCACAATGGAGGCGTTTATTTGAGTCGTGACATTACTTTTGGTGGAAGGACAGAAGAGGATCAAGGCGTCGTAGAGATACTGGCCGTAGCGTTGGAGGGAGAGAGAAGGATCGTCGGAGAGTTTGAATTCGAGGTTTAGGCAGCGGGATTTGAGGGAGTTGAAGAAAATGGAGTGAGAATATTTGAGTGAGAAATCATCCAGTAATACTAAAACTCGGCGATCCGTCGGAGACTCTGGATTGAAAGAGAAACAGAGAAAGGGGAAAACAGAGATTATGAAGATGAAGAAGAAGAAGAAAGAAAGGCTCTTCATTTCCGCTGTTTCTGGTGCAGCGATTACTTCTCGGCTTCTACTGGTTGGTTAGAAGAGAAATGGAGGAGGCCGTTGAATGCAGCGAAGCGCACTGCTTCCGTCAACTTCGAGCCGGGCCGTTGACTGCCTTTGAAGCCCAATTGATCTATAAGCCTTTATATTCTATAAATAATACAGATGGTAAGGTTCATATATAACATTGAAAATTTTGAACTAAATATATAACATTGAACAAGAGTGTCGTCATTGCCTGAACAATCTACATTAAAAATACATTAAATATTAATTTTGAACTCAATCAAATTTATTAAAAAAATTCAAAAATAAAGTTTAAATTAACTTGAAAATTTTGTTTTATATGTTTTCCAATTTAATTAGATCTATTAAAATATTTATTTGATCGTCTTTACATTTAAAAGTTAAATTTCTTAGTAAATTTGGTTCAAAATATTGATCCCTTTGATTCTAATAGCCAGTGGAACAATCCTTTTTTAAGAAAGCCTAAATGAATTTATCCCTTTCCAAAAAGAATCAAAACTCTTTCATAGAAGGATTGATCCCTTTATTGGCAATGGTCAAATATTTGAAAAAAGATCAATCCCACATGCCATAAATGTGATTTTTCTTTGTAAGTAACGACTGTATCGCATCCTCAACGACTTTTAATAGCTAGAAATCATAGAGGATATATAAAAACAAGCTCAAAACATTTAAAGATGATCAAGATACATTATTAAATCAAAATACCAACATCAAAGAGTCTTTGATAACTTAATTGTTGTATTACTCATTTGTAAAACACTTCGTGTTATTTGGATGAAAGCTTAATTGTGAAAACTCATTTGTCTCGAGGGAGTGTTTGGTTCGCAAAAAAAAAAAAGATCATTACTAGGGTCCGTTTGTTTCACTGAAAACAGTTTCAGGAAAATGAATTACATTTCTGGAAAATATTTTCCAGAAAATATTTTTCAGTGTTTGGATGTTACATTGTAAAATGTTTAACATTAATTTTTCCGAAAATATTTTTCAGAATCTGTTTTTAATAAAGAAGCATACATATTCGATATGTTTTTATTCTTTACCTTTTAGTTTTATTAAAAGTTCAGACGTTGAGAGTAAGAATCAAATTATTTTATCATGTTTATTGGATCATGATCTGAGATGTGCTATGATTCCTACTGCACAGTATTCAGTGACACAGCATTTCATGGATTTGGAGTTCATTAGTCCTAATGCTCATCCTGGAGTTTACTTCTTTTATGACTTTTCTCCAATCAAGGTAGGTTATTTTTATTCTAAACAGATATCATTAGCATAGATCATGATGATATTAACTTGAAAACATCTAGAAAAAAGACGGTATAACATTGGTATTCATCTTTCCCTGTGCAGTCCACTTTTAGGGAGGAACATATTTCATTTTTGCACTTCATCACCAATATATGTGCTGTAATTGGAGGTGCTATCATTTCTAACTCGCACTATATTTTCCCAAATCCCTTATTTCCTTATGCATTTTGGCCTTGTTTTACCTAATATGTCAATGTTCGTTTAAAATGACCAAGATTGTGTCACTTCTCGTTTAGGTATCTTCACAGTTGCAGGGATAATCGACTCGTTTGTATAACATGGTCAAAGAAAGATCAAGAAGAAGGTCGAAATCGAAAAATTCAGATGATTTATCTGCTTATTATTCCCATACATCACCTTGGCTTTCGACACGGTTTTCGAGTATTTTTGGGATAGTGCCCGTGTAGGGATCCATGCTGCTGTTTACATCCCAGATTGTATGACAACATATTAGTCCTTGAATCATTGTTGAAACTGTCAGATTTACAGTCTAAAAGAATCTATTGCTTATGCACTTGTAATCTGTAATTGATATTTTTGTTTTGATTCTTATTAACAATCAGTTCTAAAATCTTGACAGAGATGTCTGAACCGTGCCCCTGCTGATTCTATTTAGTGTGGAAAGGTGCAGTGTCAATGATGCTTTTAATGAAACGCCAATAAACAAAGGAAAAGCCTGGCCGATCAAGCATACTGCACTGCAGTCTCTTCGTTTATATATTGATATGTGTTCAACACTCAAATTCTCAAGAAAACAAAGATTTCAAAGTAAGCATTTTCGGTTGACCAATAGTTACCACCAAACACGAATAGTTTTAGTTTAGATTCCACCCCCCCCCCCCAAACTATTAAAAACAAAAGGATATGTCCCACAGGATTGTCTTGGCAACAACGGCAAGAAGCACACTACTTAGTCTCTATAGAAACTTGTACTCCACCCAGGTCAATTGAGGCAAGGGAAAGCTTCAACCTAATATCCTCAAATTTAGCATTCTGCCGTTCTTCGGTAGTCAACCACGACGATAAACATCGATCGATCCAGTCCTTACCACAACTCAAGGGAGAAGTTCCCTTTAAACTGTCCATCCTCGAGAATCTTGCGATCCTAGCTAGATTCAAAGCAGAGGGTTCCTTTGCATAACTCTCTAGGATGTCCTTAATGGCACCACACCAGATAGGTCGAGCTACCTTAAGAAACTCATGCAAAACCAGCACTGGAAGGTTCACACTTCCAAGTTCGGACTCACCATTCCCACCTCTCCCATGCTAGTCTGATCCTCCAAGCTTCAGAAGTTCATACGTATCCGCTAAGTCATTAAATGTTGTAAACCAAAAGGATATGAAAAGCTTTTAACTAGCATCAGTCTCATATCGGCCTTGTGTAAAGCTAAGCTCAATATAAACAAGCAAATAAATAACAAAATATGCAATTATGCAATCACGAGGAAATCGAGCATAACATAGTAGTATTTTTTTCTGCCCAAGTACATGGACAGCTAAGTCAATATGTAAAAGCATGCAGGTGTTACGAATAGGGATATCAACAATTTAACACATCAAACAAATATCTGCCAGTCTTCCATCACTTCTGTAAACCTCCATTCCATGAAGGCCCGCATCTTTTAACTGTCTTATGATCGGAATAGGGTTTTTTAGTGCCCATGGATGAGCAAGGACTGCTAAACCCCCAGTTTCACATATAAGCCGCACTGCTGCTTCTGCAAGAGGCTCACTTCCTCTATAACAGGGAACAAAACAAAATTTTCCATATATCATTGCTAAAGGTGAAGAAATATGAATTAGGCATAATTAAGCAGGAAAAGATATAAAGAAAATATAACGTTGAATAAGCAGGGCCGCCATCATATAAATATCTGGCAAAAGCTTGTTTTAGATTCTCTACATAACCTGCCTCGACCATTGCTCGAGCCACATGCAATCGCCCAGGAGCCACTCCATTGCCTGCAATCTTTGTAATATGCTCCCAAAAAAGCAAAACCATACGAATATACAGTTCAAAAAAGTCAATATACCTAAAGAACAGCAACCCAAATAGATCCATAAGAAAATTCTAATTTTTACTATTCTATTTCAGCTATGCAATCAAAACAACCAAACCCATATCAGAAATCAATTCATAGTAAAGAAGAAAACAAAAGAAACCTAGAATCACCCCTCTGCCATGAGCTTTCTCAACGAGCTTTGAATGAGACAAGAACCCATCACTGTGTTTAGAATGGGAATGCAATTCAAACACCACTTTATCCATCCCTCTCCCCAAACTCTTTTGATCCCCAAAATCATCAACCACCCACGAAGATAAAGCCGACGTAGTAGAAGATGAAGAAGAGGAATTTGGGTGATCCAAATAAACCCATTCGGTCACCGATTTGAAAGCGGAGGCTTGCTCGGCCGTCATCTTCCTTTTACTACCCCACGCTTCTTCTCAATAAAATGAGATATTTTTACAGATCTATCTCAAAGAAGAAGAACCGAGAAGATGAAAATGAGAGATTTCCTTGAAAAGATGACTGTCCGCCTGAATCAATAATTGCCGGTGAGAAGGAGGTCACTGGATCGCGAATAATTTTGGGAGTGGAAAGAGGGAAGGGAAAATGAATGAGCGTTGGGGAAGGGAAAATGACTTCCCTCTTTTCAAACGGTAAATTGTTTTCCGGTGACAATGACTGAATTGTACGTTAACTGACCGTAAAATATTTTACATTGATTTTCGTGTTTAACTTTAACCAAATATAGGGGAAACGGGCCTAAATAAATTTAAGGTGATGTTTGGTTAGATGAAATCTATTAGAATTAGAAGGAATTAAAATTTAATTCTATTATTTTTTCATGTTTAGTTTAAGTTTTTCAAGGGATTTGGAATCTCTCGTGGCTTTAACTTTCTATCAAATGAGGAAAAGTGAATTTCATCTAAGAATAGATGAAATTTAATTCTCTTGTTGAAAGGAATTGAAATTTGATCATACTACCCTCATCAATCTTTTGGTAACTTATTCATATATTGAATAAAAATATTTTTTTATTATTTCAGGTCGGGTCGGTTTTTAATTCATATATTCGGGTTGGGTCGATTTTTTTAAGTGTGATATTCGGGCCGGGTCGAGTTCGGGTTTAGAGTGAAAAATATTCGACCTGAAAATATATATAATTTTACCTTATATATTTATGAATAATTACAATAATACCCCTCTATATATATATTTTTCAATTAAGTCACTGTTTTTATTGAAAAAATAATAATTTTTTATTATTTAGGGTCGGTCGGATTTCTAATTCATATATTCGGGTCGGGTCGAGTTTTTTAAGTGTGATATTCGAGTCGAGTCGGGTTGGGTTTTTTTAAGTGTGAAATTCGGGTCGGGTTCGGGTTTAGGGTGAACAAAATCGGACCGACCCGAAAAAAATATATAATTTTACCTTATATATTTAAGAATAATTACAATAATACCCCTCTATATATAATTTTTTTCAATTAAGTCAATGTTTTTATTGAATAAAAATAATTTTTTTATTATTTTGTGTCGTGTCCGGTTGGGTTTCTAATTCATATATTGAATAAAAATAGTTTTTGGTATATTTTTTGGTAACTAATTAACATACTCCGATTGGAATGTATCGAAATATTGTTCTATCTTTTGGTAACTTATTAACATATTTTGATTGCGATGATTTTAACTTATGATGTTTATTAGCATGATTTTTATAATTTATTGAAATGAATAATCAATCAATAAAATGAAATTTTAATATTTTTTTAATTTTTTATAATATATTACTACATGTAAGTTGTAAAACAAACTAAAATAAAGCAAATAAACAAGAAGGGCAATTCTGTTATTTTACATTACTGAAATTAAATTCATCTGACATGTTTGCGAACCAAACAGAATATGAAATTGGATTTCAATTCCATTTCTTGCCAACCAAACAGAATATGGAATTGGATTCTAATTCCTGACAGATTCCAATTTCTTTACAGATTTCAATTCTCTCATAAACATTCTAGTGAACCAAACGCCACCTAAGTGCATTTGATTCACGAAATATCGTTTATCTTTAAATAATAAGATTAGTGGAATATAATATTACTCTGAGAATATTGTATTATGTTGTTTCATTTGTTTAGCAAGAATATGAAATTACAGTATTTGGTTAAAGGAATATAAAATTACTTGGATATATATTTTACTAAATTATATGTGTGATATATGTTTTTTCAACAAGTTAAACTTTAATATTAAAATATAAATATTTAAATAAAAATTCATATAAATATTTTAATTGTTACATTATCTAACTTTTGATAAAAAAAATACATTTAACATATAATTATAATTAGTATATCAAACTTGTATTTTTAAATAGTTTTCATAAATATCATATTTATTTATATAAAATATAATATAATATGAAAAAATAACATTGTGAGTGTGAGTGGACAAATATATTAATTTTAATGGATAAAATATATTTTTTTCAATAAATCAAAGTCAAATATTATTTTAAATAATTACATTTTTAACAATATTGTCATTTTTCTCCTAAAATTACAGATAATTAATATATTAAATATTAAAAATATAAAATATAAAATAATTCTAGCTACTTAAATTTATTAATATTTTACTAAATCAAATTTTTGGCATAATATTATTATGTTTATAATTTTGAATAAAACACGAAAAATAAAAATTAATAATAATCCACATAAAGAATTCATTATTCTATAAGTATTCTTATCTAAAATGAATACTTAAATTTTTTTTAATCATTTATATAATCATTTTTTCTTAATTTTTTTTATCTAAAATAATTATTTTATTATTAAAAATGGTTTTTTAATTAAAAAACTAATAAAATTAAATAATTTAAAAACACTTTTCACAGCCATCATCAAACACAATTGCTAAATTACAACTTCATCAATTTCCCTTTAGTTTCTTATTCAAGGAAAAAAAATCCCTTTAGTTCCTTCTTCCTTTAGTTTTCTTCCAACAGGTATGTTACAATCTACTAAACCAACACACTCTTATGCTATAGCTTTCTTCACTTGCCCGTTTAATCGCTCTTGATTACTGTTACTCTTTTGTTTATCTGCATAAATCTGATTAATTTTCTCTTTTCTGCAACGATCTAAGGTTTTTTCTTTTTTGCATCTAGCTTATCTTGGATTATGATCTGTTATAATTAGTTTAATTCTGAATCTTTTTCAGTTATTCAACTTTCTATTGCTTTTGTTTTAACTAGATTTATATTAGTCTTGTCAAATAGCTTTGACTGTGCTAAAAGGGTGATCTATTTCTGTCTGTGTACAGGTCGAAAGTGTGGAAATCGAATTTAATAATAATGACTGGATTTTTCAGTTAGGGTTTGTTATGAACAAGTGTTTTCTTTTTTAATGCTTTAGTCTAGAATCTCTAGATTTTAAATTGATATTGCTTTGCTGCAGTAACAAAAATTTGTTATTAAGACATAGAAATCAATGGGTTTACTTAATTTTCAATATATATGTAGGAGCTATGATTCTTCTGTTTAAAGTAAAGGAAAAGCAGAGAGAACTTGCTGAAAATGCAAATGGGGGAGCTCCTGCCAAAAAGCAAAGTCCTGGAGAATTGCGTTTGCACAAAGGTGTACTTCTCATGTTTAGTGAATTGAGTTATTTAAATTTCCTTAAGGTGTTTTTTCAGTCCATTCTTTTTCATGATTCAGTGTTTTTAATATGTTCTAGCATTGGATCTATTGGCGTAAGAGGATCTGTGTTTGATCCAAATGTGTTTCTCATGCTTTATTTTGACTTTCTACATGCAGATATTTCTGAGCTGAACCTGGCTAAATCTTGTGCTATAACATTCTCTAATGGAAAGGATAACCTGATGAGTTTTGGGGTTTCAATTCGACCCGATGAAGGATATTATTTGTAAGGAATTCCTTTCATGCCTCTTATTTTGAGGTCTCGATTCGACCCTATGATAATATTTTGCTCTCTATCATAAATTTTCTGGTTAAAGATCTTAATTGAAGTGGTGGCTATTATTTGAAACAAGTATTCAACTGATTGGTTGCTATTACTAAAGTGGTGGCACATTTTTGTTCTCATTTCAAGTTTCTCCCATCTATCCGCATGAGGCACCCAAAGTTAAGTGCAAGACCAAGGTAGCTCATCTTATTTTCTTCTAAGTTCTAAATCATCTTTTCCTTTGCTGAATTCATGCTATTATCTGGCTTGTATCATTTTGTATTTCCAATTTCTAGGTCTACCATCCAAACTTTGATTTGGAAGGAAATGTTTGCCTCAAGTTCAACATCTTACGTGAAAAGTGGAAACCGGTTCTCAGTATAAATACTGTAATCTATGGATTATATCATCTTTTCACGGTAATGCCTAGTGTATTTTTGTAACTAATTCTATGAATTTGCAGCTATCTGAACCTTTGAGTTTTGTGTGCAGGAACCAAATTATGAGGATCCCCTCAACCATGAAGCTGCTGCAGTGTTGTGGGATAACCCAAAGATGTTTGAATCTAATGTGAGGAGGGCTATATCTGGTGGGTATGTTGGTCAAATTTTTTTTGCCCGGTGCATTTAGCTTTTGGAAGGTAGCTGAAACTGCAAATGCACAAATGTCATCAACGCTTGAGTTTCTGCGGGTTGTATAATTTTCCCGAAAATTACCTTCTTTTGTCCACTGATTTTTTCGGTGTTCCTGAAAGACCAACCAGATAAACTTCAATTTTTCACTGCAGCTTTCCTGATGCTGTTGTATGTTTCTGTGGCATATATCATTTCAATGCGGAACTAGGATGGAGTAAAGTCAATCTACTGAATTTAATGCCCTTATTATGAAATTACCTCTCTCAAAATGAATACATTATCTTTGTTTCTTTTACCGGTTTTAGCTGTGTGCAATGCAAGGATATCGAATTTCCAATGTTCTTGTTGAACATCATCCATTGCATCATTCCCATAATTGAAATGACTCCTTAGTTACATCAACGTGATTAGATCATCTCTGGAACCGTCTTAAAATGAATCTTTTACGATGGATTTGCCTTCTGTTATGATATTCGTATTGCATGCTCTACTTAGGTTGCTTAATTATGCTAATTAGCATACAAGATATCAATGATATCATGTCAAATATGTCTTTATTGTGTGTGCAGAATATGTAAGTGCTCATCAACACAAACGGTTGATGATAAAACAATGGTTCTACAATTATATGCTATCAATGTATTTCATTTTACCAGCATGGTAATGAATTCACAGATAGTCAAGTTTCATGAGCAACATGCTGCTATGGAAAAGATAGTACATTCTTGCCTAATAAAGAAGAGATTTTGTGAATTAAGCTCTCAAAAAATAACCATCCACTCAAATCATCTCTTCCTCTTTCACAGCGGCTATTCTAACATTTTCACGGTCTTGACTGAAGAATTTGTACAATGGCGTGTAACACAAACAGCACAAACCAAAAGGAATTGCCATCATTGACAGCAGTCCTCTAGACAATGCAAATGCCTCGCGCGGAGAACCGTTGAATGGATCAATAGATTTCGAATCATATCCAAACATCTTCTCTGATAGGATACCTACCAAGGGAGCGGCAAAAGATGATAATGATCCTTCAAAGGCACGATCGAATGCATAGATCATGGTCCGATGTTTAGGTGGGACAACTTCGGCAAACATAGGACCGTTTGCAGCCGTAGCGTTCCAACTGATGGTTAAGCCCATCAAAAACAGGGTGACAGCAAAGGCGCAATAGCTGCTGGCTGATTGTGGGATCACTTTAAGAAGGAACACTGAGAATGGGATGCCCATGAAAGCGCTGAATTGTGCACACATGATACGGCCAGAGTGGGGATAAATTTGTGACAGTCTATCAGCTATGAACCCACCAAGAAAGGATCCCATTGCACATCCGATAGCAAAAAGACTTAACAGTGCTGCTGTAGAATTATGGTCAAAACCTGAGGAAAAAGAAGAGAAATAAAGACCCAAAGGTATCAAAGATCAAGCGATAAACCATCCATTGGTCTCAATTTGAACATTTTAATCCCATATTAAAAGAGAAAAACAAAGGCTATTAGAGTTTGTGAATGTACTTACCAATTAGTTCAAACCACATGGTAAAGAACACCATGGCTGTCCATGGTAACGAACCAACAATTCCCTGCAAGACAATTATCTGAAAAGTTGGAACCTTTATAACAGCTTTTGTGGCGTCCCAGGACTCGAACCAAACCGACGAGACACGAGAAGTTCCTTTTTCTACCAACTCATCCCTGCAATACAAAGTAGCTGTCACCAAAGCAATATAGGAAGCCATCAAAATGCCACAACCTGAACACTAAATTTAAACAAGGACCATGTGTTTACAGGGTGATAAGATAGTGAAACAGATAAATATGAACACATCGAACGAGAAATTAGTACCTTTCTGAATTAAAGCCAGCATCATGATTGACACTAGCTTTTCTCCTTGGATCAACAACAAAAAGGAACACAAGGAGTCCAATGAATGAACTTAAAGTTGCCATCAAAATGAAGGCACAACGCCATCCAGCCATACCCCAGAACTGCTGACCAGCCATTACCGTAGCAACAACACCACCACCGATGCCGCCTAAGGTGCCAACAAGGCTTAGCAGCCCGAATCCGGTCCCTCTCACACCATCCATGTAACTATCAGCAATGAAAGACTGAAGTGCCGGTATTACAATTGCCAATCCAAAGCCATTGACTGCTCTCCACATTGCAACCTGATGAAACTGTTGGCTTCCACCCACTGCAGCAGTCGATAAGGCCCAGAACATCGTACCTATAGCAAGAACCGTAGGGCGGTCATAGTTAAATTACAAGTACACCAGCCAAGGGAGACGCCAATCCCTGCACAAAGTTCCTTATGAAGGTGAGATACCCAAGATCAGATGGCCCGGCGTTGAATGCTTCGCTAACTTCTTTGTACACAGAGGGAAGGAGGTTTTCATCAGCACGTTCCATGATGGCAGCCAAGTTTATAAGGAGGATAGAAAGAGAAACACCGAAAATCTTTCTTGCTCTGAGAAAACGTTTAAACCATATCACCGAGTGACTCAACACAAGAATAAGCATTTCCAGCAGGGTAACATACAACGAGAAGGGCAAAACAATTGTGATATGTATTACATGTACATATGTTTATGTATAATAGGCAGATAAAAGATGAGAGTAACATCCCCATTCCCAAAGGATTATACATTGACATCATCTCTGAGTGGTTGTACAGTATTTCTTCAAAAAAGCAACTTTAAATTCAAAATTTCTGGTAAAGATAAATTTGTTTATTGTTGCTTCAGCTATTTAGTTTGCTATATTTCTGATAATAATAAGCTAAAAGCCGAGTACCCATAATCAACAAACATTCAAACAATAAGTGCTGCAATAATCTGGAAAAAAAGGACAAAGATTTGAGAAGGAAACTCACTTCATGGTTTGAAGATGTGTATGGAACGAAGACTTCGACTTTCTCGGAGCAGAAGATCTTAAATGGCTCCGATATAAGCCCATAAAAGAAAGCAAGAAAAGTTGCTAAAATCCTGGGAAAATGCGTTTCCAAGCTCGATGACGGATCTGGAACACCCACTTGCCTCGTTGAAATGGAAAGAAGACTCCGACAATCCAGGGACTAATCAGAAATTAACCCCCCCTTCCAATAATAAATATTCAAATACAAATCAAACACGACTTGTTTATTGAAAATTAAATGAATGATTATCTTTCTTTGAACGAAGATAACACTGTTAAGGGTTGACTAGAAAAAGGACGGAGTTAAGGAAAAGGCCAAAACATTCGTTGCAAAAACCAAAGCTTTGAAGGAAAATGAAAGAAGGCTTCATGGTGGGCTTGAAATATAGTTCCAGGATCTGTGGTGTCCGTATAAAACAGGTCGAGTTGTTTGGCATTTCCTTAGTTAAAACAGGAATCAGTTGTAACAGGAGCAACAGTGAAGCTAGCAATTGTCCGCAACCTTTTTGTTTCCTTTTCATGGCCTTCCCTTGTAATAAAATAATCCCACCGTTTTAACCAAAATTAAATTTTTTTAGAGTAAACTATGAATTTAGTCACCTAACTATTCTTGTGATTCTATTTTGGTCATTCAATTATTTTTCTTTTCAAAAGAACACCTAAAGTTATGTTTTAATTTCGTTTTAGTCATATGTCGTTAAAAGATTAATTGTGATGATGAGTGTCACCGTAAGATATACCACATCATCATTGAAAAATAAAAAGGTATCATGTTAGCAGCTTTGTTTTTTAACGATGGGTGACTAAAACGGGATCGAAATGTAACTTTAGGTATGCTTTTGAAAAAGAAAATAGTTAGTAGGGGTGAGCAAAACTCTACTCGATTCGAAAATCCGATTTTTTTGATCTGACTCGAAAAAACTAGACACAAATTGACTTCGAGTTGTAATTTCATAAACTCAACTCAAAAAAATTCAAATTCGAGTCGAGTTATATAATAGAATCGAATAATTTGAATTTTTTTAGTAATTAGTAGATTAATTTTTAAGTTTAAGTCGAGTTTCATAGTATATATATATCACATATGGAAAAAATTGAATATATATATATGTGGTTATAGAAAACAGTTTAAATTGGAATCAAATAGTACCATAATATAATAAATATCTACAATTAAATTTAAGCAAAAACTCGAATAACTCAACTCGACTCGAAAAAAAAATTCAAATTAAGTTTTAGTTATAAAATACGACTCGCCAACTCAAAGTCTTTTTACTCGACTAGATCAAACGCTCACTCCAAATAGTTAGGTGACTAAAACGAAACCATGAGAATAATTAGGTTACTAAATACGCAGTTTAGCCTTGTTTTTATTATGAATATTTTTAGATTTTTATGTATTTTTTATTATATACAAGTAGAGTATATTTGTAGGAATTGGTTATATTTACGAGAATATAGATAAATATATTAGATTAAAGTGAATAAAAAATTAAGTTAGTACCTTAGACACCACATTTTTTTAATACTTTTTTATAAATTCAAACAAAATTACGCAATCAATGGGTAAGTAATTTCGGGGTGAAAGTTTTTACTTATTGTTATTTTCTTATTATTAAATTTATTTTTTTAGAATTTTAAAATTATCTCATTTAAAATATTCTATTGAAAATTTAAACAAATAATAACAATTATATTTTCATTTTTATCTTTTATCATATTATCTCACCAAAACAACTCTATCAAATCTATCAATCATTTTTAGGATAATTTTATCATTTACCTCATTTATATGATTTGATATGTAGTTAAATTAATATTTATTATCATTATTATTAGTGTTGTTGTTACAAAGAAAGACTGCTAATAAGCAGTAGAAGCAACTATCTTATTAAATTAGTTTTTTAGCTTTAACTTATTTCCTTAAATAATGTTTAAAACCTATTTTCTTGAAAAATATATTTTCACCTTCTTTCCCTAAATAAGTCAAATATCGTCGGAAAAAAATGTAAAATTACTGCCAACATTTTGAAATCTGTTGTGGATACGTAAATAGTTGAACAATTTGTTAGCAATTGATATTTTAAATTTTTAGGGTAAACTACATCAGATACCATCAAACTTTAAGTGTTGTATCATTTATACCGTTGAGCTTTCAATTTTGGCAATTATAGCACTGAATTTTGATTTTCGTTTCAATTGTACCACTGAATCGTTAAATCGTTAAAGGCACGACGACATGGCTGATTGCTATCAATGTAGACATCTCACTAAAACGACATCTTTTTGATCTGATTGTTAACGATTTAATGGCCCAGTGGTATAATTAAAACGAAAATCAACATTTAGTACTATAATTGGCAAAATTAAAAGTTTAGT